ATCTATTTTCATTATTGGCTGCCTTTAAATGCGGCTCTTATTTGCCTTTGCCTATATATAAGTTTATTTATTCTAATGACAAGTCACTCGAAACTGACTGATATTGATATGGTTATTGTTGTCGCTATTTACTGTTCCCGTCTAGCGCGCCATTTTGCTATTGAAAGCGATTTGGTTTAGTGGCTTCTAGCGATCGCTGTTTGTGAGCGGATTTAATTGAGTCTATATGGGCCATCGGTTTCTATATATCTGTTAACGCTAAAACAGAGTTTGTAGAATATTCACGTTGTTTTCCTAAATGGTAAATACGATGTTTTACATTTTTAAATAAGTTGTTTCTGAACATGATCTTATTTCATCTCCTCTTTTTCCCAAAAGGTGTTTTTCCCAAGACATTATGCTCATAAGACCACCAAAAACAGCATTTTTCCACCACATTTTAACGCTTCTCCCGCGTCCCTTTAAAGAATTTTCCATCCCCGCTCGCTCATTTGCATAAAACCATTCGCACAGCTATTGCATATCGCCGGGATATTAAATATCCGCGGCTAACCTTCGCGAAGGACAAACAGAAACGCATAATAAAACATTAATTGATGTCGATGACGCGTCGTTCGGGAAATATTCTCACAATTTCACGCTAGGCAATCATAAAATTCGGATATATTGGGGTGGCCAGTGAAGCTATGAATGCTCGTAAATGCAATGGGCACAGGAAGTGCCCTGAAACCCTGGGCCTACAAAACCAATTTCCGATCAGAGCTGGAAGAGCACTCAGCCATATCGAGGGGCTCTTGGCCCATAGAGAACTGGCGCATGCGCAACATGTAGATTGTGGGGAATCAATAAAAATTTGAATCGAAAACTGTTGAATAAATGCCGATCGGCCGAACAGGATTTGCGGGCAATTAATTTGTGTTTTTCAGGAAACTCGAGGGGCAGTCGAAGTTCAATGGCCAAAAGGCGTTTGTTGACAGGGCCTATTAGTGGGTCAATTGCCCAGAGGAGATCTCAATGCTGGGCCCTCGTACCTGGCGCCTCCATTCGACCTACACTCATTTCGGGTACCTTTCTGTGCTCTGGCAATTAGCGATCGATCGATCGATCACTGAAATCTCGGCTGGGTGATAAAAGTTAAGTAAGCAAATAATGTGAATTTTCGGCGCATGTTCAGCTGCGGATATCTCCCATCGGTCCACGGATTGTATTATGCTATACTATATATATAACAGTACCTTACGAAATGTGCTGCGATTTCGATTTCAATTTCAGTTTGAATTTGCAATTCGGCTTCGAGGCGGCGGGCTGGTTTGTTTGAACCTTTGTTGTGGCTTTACGACTGATCGGAATCGAGATCGAGACCATCCGATGATGGCTTTATCATCGCACCCCGATCAAATGTGTTTTTTTTCTCACCTCGTTGCCGAAATGGATTCGAGTCTGAAATTGAAATTTACAGCGTCGCCATTTGACATCGGCTTGGGTCAAGCTATTTGAAGATTTCACGCAGATTTTGTTTCATAATCAAATAATTGATCTTAATGCGGCATCCAAGCTTTAAATAAAATTTATTTCATTCCATTCGCTGTCATCCGCTGAGCTTTTGATCCCATCAAACTCGGAACGAATCGCGCTTCAATGTTGCGGGGGTTTTAGCACCTCTGTGAGCATAAAAAGCCTTTTTTTTTATTTTCGGGCAAACTAGTTTCCGCAATAATTCGCCGAAAGCAAGCATGTTTTTTTGGGCCTAAGGCTGGCCAATCTATCAAAAATTAAAGGTGATACTTTCCGCTGACTCGAAAATATGTTGAAATTAGTCGGCCGAAGGGTTTGCTTTCGGCAATAAATGTTCAATCACGTGCCATAAAATTGGGGTACAAAAAAGGGAAGAGGGTTTTGATTTGATTGAATCAATAGCGATGATTCTATTGAAAAGCTTTTAAAAAATATCAGGCAAAGATTGATGGATAGTCTGATTTATTGATTCTGACATTCCCTCTTTATTGTTTCATATGTATTTTAATAAATATGATTAGTATCCTTGAATTTACAGCCTTAGAAAATAATAAATATATAATTATAACATGATTTTCGTGATTTGTGCAATGTAGATCACTGACTAAATTTAATAGAACCTTAATTCCGAAATGTTCTGTGTGCAGCCAATGGATTGAGAGTGATTGATTCGCGTGGCCCGATTGACCTCCAAGTTGGTGAGGCGGCGAATCAATCAAAACTGGCTGCAGATAAATGATATTTTTTCCGCAACTTTTTGTGCCATTTTTGGCGCAAGTTTTGTGTGCCAGTTTCGTTTTCATTTGCATGAATTGGCAAAAGCGAAATAAGGCAAAGACTAGAAACTAAAAACTTGGCATTGTGATGGAGGAAACCGAAATTACTGGCGGGATTTGCATAGGAACCGATCGATCGATGGGCGATATCCCACTGGGTCTTAATGAGATTTTGGCCAACTGTTTCCATGGCTTACTCCAGTTATTATTTAACTGCCATTGTCTGGGCGGTGTGTAATTGGCAATCGGTGTTTTGTTCGGGGGATCGATCCAATCTTGAACTCATTTCGAAATGGAAAGTCTGCCGGGACATCATTATCTTATCGCCCCATTATTTGGCCGTTTTCTATCTAATTTGCCACGATTTTTTATGGCTCAGATGAGCAGACGGCGGAGTAATTGTATCGGGTTGTAATTCTTGTTGAATTTCAGCACCGATTCGGATTCTTTGAAGGCGGCCGCCTTTGTCTGATTGCGAATTGCGAATGCAAATATTTTCTATGGATCCAGATAGGCTACGTATATGCATTTATTTCTATTATTGGACAATTATTTTACTGACAAATCACTGAGAAGGCTGCAAGTTTCGTTTGGTCTACTAATACGATTTGCATAAACAGTATGCAATAGTCTCACCCCCTTTGGATCCATGGAACTGGGGTTATCTGATTTCTATCTATATTTAATTATTTGCGATTGAAGCACAATGGTTCAGGGCCATTAATCAGAGCTGCAAAAGTCGGGGCTATAACCGCGTGCCTACGTGCTCGATTGGTTCCATTATTCACTGAATGTTTCCGATGCCCAGATATACTCGCTAATTCCCTGTAACCGATCGTAAACTAATTTCGTTCTGAGCCATAAAATGCGAGAGTTTTTCGTCATAATCGCCGTGAGTCGTGGGAATTACCTTGCCATATCTAGCCGTATCTGCCAAATCAGTGGAAAACGGAAGAAGCCCGCCCCCTCATCCAAACTTGACACTATCTGGTGGGGCAAGAGGGGCTTTCGAGGGGCCAAGGGGGCCAACAGCGCTTTGTACTTTTGCGGCTGTCTGTAAATATTTGACAACACATGCCTAATTAGTGCAGCCATTGATGGTGACAGGCGGAACAAGCAACAACACTTGTCGAACACCCAGCTCTTTTACGACTCTTTCCCCGGAATCGCCAATGTCTCGGGTTTCTTCATACGTACTCGTATGTGCATACTCTATATGTATCTGAGGGCTCCTTATCTTCTTGTGGAAGGAAGTGTTCTGACGAGTGCCAGGGCGAGAGCACTTAACCCGCAGCTTTGTTGAGTAAGGCAGACTTCTGGGGGAATACTTATCAATGGGCGTAAGACTGGTAGAGGTTTGCCTGTAAAAAACTATGTAGAAGTGATGGGGAAGATAGATGCAAGGAGTTTAATATTTTTAGGTTCGAAGTAGGTTGAAGTTTTTTCCCAACCAAGGCTAAATTGTGAAGGGAACACTATTCTCCCTTTAAGCTTTCAAACTTTTGTTGACATTCAGCGGTATTAATAAACAGGATAAACAGTTGTGTTCCCTAGAAAACCACATTACTCATACGTTTATTTTCATGGTAACAAATTGTGAATGTCCCCCAATGTCGGGCAGTCGATGATCGGCAATGGCTATAGCTATCTGTATATATATATACAGTTCCTATATAGGAACCCTGACGAAACGCACTCGTCAGTCGGCTGGGTTGAGTCCGCGGAGGGGACACTTGGCACATTGGCAAAGTGTTGTGCGCAAATATTTACCCAGAGCTTCGCAAGTAAGCGCGAGTCAAACAATTGAGGCAAACAAACCGGAGAAAAACAGGCTGCAAACACGGGATACTTCGAAGGAAGGAGTGAGGATCGGATCGCCACAGTTTCCCCGAGGAGCGCGTGAAAAGTGTGGACAAGTTCAAAAGAGTTAACCGACCGTGTGTTTGAAAACGGCTTAAAGAGCCGAGAGTTCCTGCAGGTGATAACGAGATTTACAAATCGATTGTCGCTTTTGACAAACATAAAAACGGCGAAGGAACCCAAGGAACACCTGAGGAAATTCAAGGTGATAATCTTTGTGAAAACAAACTCGAAAACACATATAAACCTCGCAGCAAGACTCCTCATCTCAATCGATAATCGAGCTAATTTGTTTTCGGCGTTATTGTAATTTGCGATTGCCGCGTGCGTTTTATTTATACTCGTACTCAAAAATCGGCAAAAATCTGGTCTGTTCAAGATTTGCATTTTGATAAGCGGAAGTTGTTGGGCTTAAGGTGTTTTTTGGCGATCGTATTTGTTTTGTGCCCGCTTGTGTTTGTCAAATTTGGCTAAAATTAATTTGCAATAAAAGCTGTTTAATTAGCGCATTTTGTTATAATTGTGGGCCGTAATGGCTTACGACGGTTTTGTTTTAATTTCGTTTGACATGAAGGATTGATTACAATTTAATTGGCTGGCATTTTAGGTTTTTGAAAGCAAAGGGGCTCACTTGTCCTGGTTGATTAATTTATATTGTAAATATTTAGAATTTAACATGACCAGATTTTGCATTTCAATTTATCATTGAACATTGTATTGCATTTTAAACTAAGGCTTAACTGTAACCAAGATTTATTAACTTATTGAAGTATGTTGGATTGTATTGAACACTTCTGTGCAGTTTTATTTTAATTGAAGAACATATATTCTCTTAAAAACAAATCTCACCTGCATCACCCAGTAGTTATTGTTGGCGGCAAACTGATCACCAATTATGATATCCGTATGCATTTAAGCGGCGTTTTTCGCATGAAGCTCAGCTCGAGTGGGGGCCAGGGGAAACGCCTGGTGGGGGAGGGGGTTCCACCGATTCTACCGATACTCTACCAATATTTAACCCGATAATTTGCGACTGGGCTTCGTACTTATTATTTGCGGACAATTAAAAGGCGCTGCTCTGACTCACGAGTCACGATCAGTTCAAGGCACAGTGATTAATCAATTTTCGGATTCAGATTCAGATGCAGATTCAGATTCGAATTCGGATTCGGATTCGGGATTATTATTATTGAATACTTCTGCTTGACATGGCACTGCGAACAACAGACATTGCGGCACGTTTTCTGGTTGTTCAATTACTTTTGTTATTTAAATAATTTTATTTGCAAGGATATGCAAATGAAGGCACTCGATCACTTTCTCTCACTCTTTGTTTCCCTTTGTTTGCACACTTATTTTTTATCCTTTGCGTTAATTGCAAAAATTATTAAAAAGCCGCCGGCTTTCGCTCACTTCCGCATTCGTTGAGCATCTGGTTTTGAGTCGTGTATCTGGTATTCTGTTACTCTGTTACTTTGTATCTTTTGTTCCTGTCGATACGGCGTATTAATGGGCAGTAAATTCGTTGCGATATTCTAAAGATTACGGTAAGGCACTTGCGGGATTTGATTTTCAATTTGTTGTTTGTTTTCCCAAAAGGAAAGCTGCAGGTTTTCACGCGCTCGTCGGCGAAGTTGTTACTGCGCTGGCGGCAACCGAGTTCGTACTGATTGGACGAGCGCGGGTTTCGCGCAGACGAGCCTCGAAAGTCAGAAAGCCAGTCGCCAGTTGCCAGTTTCCAGTTGCCAGTTGCCGTACCGCTTAACCCCCGCCGCTTAACCCTCCACTGCCCGCTCTCTCGTCTGCTCTCTCTCACTCACCTTTGGTGAGCACTCACCAAACACTCGACTCACCTGGATCGGGAATCCTCTCTTTCTGCGCTCTCTCGCGGCCCAGGTGATCCACCGATCTTATACCCCGCTCTCAGGTGCGCCAGCCAGCTGATCTCATTGGAGCCGAACGCGTATAAGAGCCGCGATCGATTCGGATTGAGGGAGCCGACTGGGGTTCGCCATTTTAGATTCGACCTGCGGTGGAGGTGGTTACGGGTGAAAAGTAGACTAGATCTCAGGGAAATGCGGAAAAACTAGAAAAGGGGTTCAGGAAACGAAGAAGATTCACTAAGAAGATTTAAAAGTTGCAAAAGAGCTAATACCATTGAAGTATTTTAAATAGAATTACTAAAGTTTTACCAAAAAACCTTTTAAGCGAAACTTTAACCTTTAAGAAATAATATAGAGTTGGCTAACTTATGTTTAACAACAACAAGATTTTTGGATCGAATAAACAATTGCAGTATAGGCAAAATTAATGAACAAAGAAAGGAGCATAGTCAACTTGAATCATATCATAAAAGAAAACTGTTAACTTCTGTTTTAAGTATGAATTAAACTTTTAGTACTACTTAACGTTTAATATTCCACGGTATATACTAGGTAGCTTTTGTAGGAGTAATAAATCACAGGACATACCAAAAACACAATCCCCAAAAAGCCTCCCCCATTTAAAACAGCTTTACCGCAGCGTTCATTAGGTTTGACACATTTTAGATAGTTCCTAGGGCAAATAAATAAAAACTGTCCAAACAACACGCGAATCTTTGTCAGACCCCACGCTGTTTTGGATGGTAAAAAACATAATTAAATAGAATTAAAGCATAAATTAAGTCAGCTTATGTGCTTTCTTTGAGGGAAATCAATAAAGCGACAATTAAAAGCTATCCGTATCTACATATTCTACGTGGAAGGCGGCGGAGGAGGAGGAGGACCGAATGTTCCCCGTGTAATTCCCTGAATCGTAAAATTACCCCAACGCACGCCACACATAAAAGCCATTTTCATTTTCCCTCATCCCTCTCCGGGTTTTATTTCCCATTTTTTGGCCATTAGGGAGCCACAAGTTTATGTTTTCCAGGCGGGGGGAAAATGGGGGCCAAAGTATCTGGAATATCACGCAAACGCGGACTTCGTCGGGGGTTTTCAGAGGTGTGGCCTCTCCGGAAAGCGGCGCAGACTCGAAAACCAGCCAATCGGCGTTCGACAGAGAGCGAGAGATACAAGATACAGCGAGCGAGCGGGACGGGCGATTCGGTTGGAGCGAGAGGGCGAGATACTTTTGCGTAAACGGTGGCAGTAAGCGAAAACACAACGCCACACGCAGGTGGAAAAACAAAAACATCAGCACACCAAGTGAGCTACAAGAGTATCTACAGTACGCCGGCACACTCGCAGATACATTCGACGCTATTGATAATTGACTGTTCCCCCGTTTGCGCTATTGACTTCGTGCAAATTTGCCATTAGTGCCGCCGCAGACGTCTCCAGATACAAGCTCGGCTACACTGGCAGATACATTCGAGTCTGTTTGCCCGCTTTGTTTGCTCCCGAGCTGCTTGTCTTGCGGCTGGTATCCGTGAGATACGCCAGAGCCACCTTTCCGAGTTCGAGTCCGCACTTGACTCCGTTCGCCGGTTGACAAATGCCAGCCAATTTACAACGCTTCTGGCCTAGAACGGAAAAGCTGAGCGAAGTATGCACGCTCTGGGGATATAAATATCGCTATTATGGGGCTTACAACATATTTATGGAATGGCGAATTTATTTATCTTAAAATATGCAAGTAGGGCAGACTAGCTTGACCTAATTAGAACAAACGATTCTTCAGAAGCGTGGGCAATAGGATACAAAAGCCTTGAAGACCTTTTTTTTATTAATATTCCTGCTTTATGTAAATATAATTCCCATTTAATGGAAGTTGGTTTAATCTAGTTTTGTAATAATTTGTTTGTGTTATTGAGACTTTTTCCTTATTTATGATTCTTTCTAGTCAGTTAACATCTTAAAACCCAAGTTAAATTACTTACTTCCCTTAACGATAACCATCACTCTTTGCCATATTGTTCCCTGAGTTCGCTTCCTGAAAACCTGTAACGTATCAATTTTGGCGCTTTTATGTCGAGATTCGAGCAATCCACCATAAATATTCAAATTGGAGGCTGTTATCCTTGTAAGGCTATTGATTTTAAAGTGATATCCCCCGATTTATTGATGCCACCGTTTGTATCTCTTACCGCACACAACGATCAAACCGAAAGGGTAGCTCTCGGTGAGGTACCTGTTATGAGTCTGGGGATCGGGGATCCAGGACTCCCCCCGAAATTCACTGCACTCGACCGAGCAGAACTTATCGGCCAGCTCGACATGATTAATTGCCCGGCGGAGACCCTCGAGATCAGTTCGTTTGAATTGTGGCCAAAATATTGTCACGCTTCGGAATCGGAATAAAGCGAGAGAACAACGAGAAGTCTCCGAGGAAATGGTTCTCGCTTGATTGATTCCACTTGGCGGCACTTGCCGATAAAGAAGGACAAGTTCCCAAATGATTCCGATTTATTCGGGCCGTGTATTGTCAACCTGGAGTTGGAGTTGGAGTTGGAGTTGGTATTTTCCTCTTTCGGGGAGAGAGACCCGAGATTACGCGGCAATTTGTTTTGTCTGCGCGATTTCTGGGAAATATTTTCATAATTTCTTCGGCTCTGGCTTATCTCTCGAATTTATTTGTTTGCATAATGCGAGGGTAATTGAAATCTCAGGAGGGGAAATGGGGGCAGGGCCACCTCGAATTCCGTCTAACTCGTCAGATCAACCAAATCGGCCAGATCGGAGATACTCGCACGTTAGTTAGCCCGAATAATCGGGGGCCCAAATGCGCATTCTATGCAAATGTTGCAAATAGTTGCCGAGTTGCAAGATGCAACTGCGAAATTTATGCGAATGCTAATCAAGTTAACACCGAAGTCGTTGTCGTCGTCGTCTGACAATTTTAAGTGCGTATCTGTGTCGCTGCTGCGGCGGGGGAACAATTATTAATGATTTCGCTAAATGTTACAGAAAATAATGACAGCGCAGTGCTGTGCAGCTCCACAAATTACAAATGCACACAAAATGCCTTTCGGATCTCGTATTTTGTAATTCGGTTCTCGCCTCGCGCCTTTCAACACCTCGCAGCCCTCGCAGCTTTTGGGACTCGTTGAATGAATGATTCGACATGTTCCGAGTGGGCGGCCCGCCCGAGGGCGTGACGCTTTCGGTTGGGGGCGGGGGGCGTGGCAGGGCGAGGGCGAATGCGAAGGGTAGAGGGGTAGAGAGGGAAGGTGAACAGCAGGCGGCTGATTCCTCCTCAGCTCCACGGGCTCTTTTTTGACATTTAGCGCGTGCGCAGAAAGAAAGAAAAGGGGAAAAAGACAGTCATGATCAAAGCATCTAACGATCTGTGGTACACGGAAAAAAAGTAGAAATAAGTTTTCTAATACCCTATATCATAAATAAACAAATCGTTAAACGAAACGTTTCGCTTTGTCTATTCAACCATTTTTATTCCTCGACAATAAACAAACACGTTTGCTCTAAATTAGCTCTTTTATACTGGTTATACTGCCCCAATATGCTCTCCAAAATGTATCCCTTTCTTATTGATGATAATCACATCAGAGCTCGCAAAGCGTTTTTATTGTTATTGATGGTAATTACGCACAACGTTTCTCTGAGTTCATTATCTTGGCTTGTCTGTCATAATCGATGGTGTACGAAATCGGTTGTTAAGGAACCTAAGGATAAAAACTTTGTTCTGCTGTTGAGTATTTAACATATCTTGATGCCTGTTCCTATGAAGTGGCTATTTTCTTGCAGTGCATTTTAATGTTCCCGATTCCCTGTCCCACTTCAGGTGTTGGAAGATGAGCCCCCAGTGCGGAGTGCGGAGTGCGGAGCTCCTCCTTCATAATTTCTATGATCGCGTTAATCACCTTTCAAGCCCACTCGAAGCGAAGTAGAAACGATATGGCACTCGAGATCGGATGGGATCTCGATGGCATGGGGGCAACTCCAAGCGATATCGTTGCTTACTCAGCAGGTTTCGGGTCGCAACTTTTCGGGGGGCACCAGCTGCTAATGATGCGACTGCACAATTGAAATGAAATTAATTTTACGCGGCAATTAATTAAGCCAGTGTGTGAGCTGTGGGCAGAGGCAGAGAAAGCCAAGGCCTCCCACACTAAGCCGCATCCCCCGACTACGGATAATAGTAATTATTAATTGGGCTAACAAGTCCCGCGCTTTGGGTTGTGAAATCTCTTCGCCTTGGCCAGAAACCATAAACAACTGATACACCATAAATGCGACGACGCACAAAACAATTGCACCGAAATAATATAAATTCGTGTGAAATTAAATCGTAAAGGTAACAGCCATCTGGCCAAACCCAGAAACCCACCAGGCACCAGTCACCAGTCCCCCAGTCAACAGTCAACGTCAGACGGAGCAGACATCGGCCAGACTTCAGACATTATGCGATTCGATATTCGACACTGACACAGAAAGCAAACATCGAGCAGCCGAAAATTTCCATAGGCTTTTCTATCGATTTTTATGGCGAATCGGAAAAGTTTATCAATGACGAGAACTTTTCTTCGAACGCGGCATGCAAATTATGAAACTGTTCGGAGAGCCCTAATTCTGCTTAAATTTCCATATAAGGCTTTCTGTTGTTTATCTTTTTAGTTGTGAACGATTGTAAAATGCGTTATCTGTTTGCCTGGTTTATGGGGCTCTTCATCAAGCGATTTTCTGTCGATTTTTATGGCCAATTGGAAAAGTTTAACAGCGGCTGAACAAAAGCCGAAAGGTTCTGATTTGGTTAGCGCCAATTCGCCCTAAACTTACTTTATGGTTTGATGGGGGTTCTTCGTCCCGATAAGAATCCCACTTGTCATGGTTCTATCTTTTAGCAGGCCGTTTAAATCGATTTTAAACTGGGAAGCTTTGATTTCTATTTCCAGTGCGTCAGCACCAAAATTCCTATCACCAGTTTGGCAAACAAAATTCCAAAATGAGTTCGCTTTTACGGCGCTACTTTACTTTCCTCTTTGTGGTGGTGAGCTTTGTGGGCTTCAGCCTGGTTGAAGACCAAATAATCCAGAAGGAGCGTAAGTTTGGGGTTACCAATAACTATATTTACTATATGCTATTGCATGCGTTTTCCTTGATCGAATAGCCATGCTGGCCTCCTTCCGCCAAGAAACCCAGGAGCTGCAGGACGAGTTTGTGCATTTGGCAGACAGAGTAAGATGGTTTGCCTAGCTTTGTGGCTTAATTCCGATAATAATCCCCCTAAAGTGCAGCATAGAAAAAGTCATGGAGGAGGACTCCCCGGAGTACCTGCAGATCAACTGCCTCGTGGACAGTCTGCCGGAAGGCTATGCTAGGAGGCTGAAGCCCGTAGACTACGGCCGTAGTTTCTTCCTCAACCAGCGCATTCCGCAGCCCCTGAAGCGCCAGTGGAATTTCCGAGTGCCCAAAGACGCCGTGAACGGACTCAGTCTGCTGACTTGATTGATTCGACTCCAATAGACCGATAAAAAAACGTCAAAACGCGCTTATCACCTGAATTCATGAGGAGGAAACGCGGCTGACCACCGGGGGAATTCAATTAATCCGGGGTCAGAGTAGAAGAGTAGAAGGAGCCGCTACCGAATGATCGGCACTGATCCGCGGGCCTTTGTCTCTAATGAGCTTATCCATCATCGCGGTCACAGCTCCCAGCGAGTTCGACTCATCTGTCACAGGGCTAATAGGTTTCATTAGTCATCCGAATCCGAATCCGAAATCGTCCGGTTTATCAGCTGCTTTTTCCCCCGTCTTCTCGTCTTCTGGTCTTCTGGTCATTTCTCAGAGTCTCGCGGCCGAAACAGAAATACAGAAATGGATTTTCAGTTTTGGCTTTTTACCTCGGCCACCTTGTCGTTGGGGGTTTGCGTGTCGACAGCAATTTTCACCTTAATTATTTTTGGTGGCAGGAGTCGGGTGGCCGAGGACGTGTCCAGCACGCGCTAATGTTTAATATCCGCCAGGATAATGGCGGGGGTGTCGAGGGTTTCGAGGGTGGTGAGGGAAGTCGGGGAAGAGCCCTGAGGAAGACACCCAAGCCAAACCAAACCAGACCAGACAGCTATGCAAATTTCCGACTTTATTTGTGTATTAAAAGGAGACCGCCGTTGTGATGAACCAGGGGAATACCTTGTGACGTGCGACAGTTCGTGGAAAGTTTTCGAAGAACTCTACTTACGCAAATGTAACAAGGTTATCGTGCCGCTAGGTGTCAAGACAATAAATATAAACCATAAATATCTGAATAATATTCAAATTTATATGGCCATTCAATAAATTGGCGCCGTCAAATCACTTTGAATTTGTTATATGGCGAAAAAAATAACAATAAATTGATACTTTAACAATCGTAAAAGCAAGTGCGTAAATTCCTTGAATTATTTAAATGAAATGCACTCCTTAAACCTTGAAAATAGTTTGGTTTTCGATAAAGGTATTCTAATTTTCGTTTTATTGTTTACATTTATTGAATTGTTTATGCACAATTGAAAAACACTTTTACGAGTGTCCCATGGGTGAGGTTTACAAGTCTTTACATCTAAAAATAAATTAAATGGAAGGTTTAAACTTGTTAAATAACTCTATTTTAATTAATAATTATATATTTTAAAGTGATTACATATGAGGTATGTAGGTTTGCCCTAGAGTTACAAAACCTACAACTATCCAAGTATTCCCCGAAAGTCAAGGGGCATCTGCAAAACGGAAGCGAAGCGTGTGCTCGTAAATTATTGTGGTCGCACACAGCTACAGGACACACACACACACACACACTGACAGCCGCAGGATGTCAGCTAGATGTTGCTGTGTGCGGCTGCGTTTGTTTGCCCATTTGGGCCATCGTCCTTTCGTGTCCTGGCTGTCTAACATTGTCCGTTCATTGTCTTGCCATGGCCTGTTTTTTGTGAGCGGTGAAAAAGTGGATAGTGGAAAATGGGAAGTTGGAAGTGGGAAATGGGAAAGTGGGGGTGGGGTTTTCCTTTCTGTTTGCCATTCAATATTGGCGCCGTTGTGGCCCCTCTCGGCGACTCCTTGCAAGTCCTTGCCGCTCTTCCTCCACTGCCCCTTCTGCCATAAAATGTTCAATTAGTTAATGAAAAATTTTCCAATTGGAAAACAACATTCGAGTCCAACTAACGATGTGGATTGGCGGGGAAAGGGGAGAAAGGGGGAGTGAAAGGATAAGGACAAGGGAAAGGGGCCTTTTGCCTTTGTGGACTATGCCTTCAGGTCGGAAATTTATGCATGTGATTTATGCACAACAACGATTGCCAATTACAATATCATTTCTCTTCTTGTCTCCTCGGCTTTGTGTTTGCATTTGTTCATTTTGTCGTGCCTGTGGGCTCCTTTTTCACCTTTTTTACCTGTGCCTTCGGCCGGTTGTGTGCGTGTGTGGGGTGCCATTAAGAAATCAAAAAGTCAAAACACGTGAGGAATTATATAAGTTAACATACGACAGCGGGAGTTTTCGGAAAGAGCAACCAGGGTTAAAGGATAAGGAACTGCTTGGAAATTAATTGATTTTTTCAGAGTTTTGTGATGATTAAGTATTTTTTGATATATATATCTCCTTTGTTGATGAATAAATAGAAGTTTATTTTAATTTGTTAGTTCTCCTATCAATCTTATGTTTAGTTTTGGGGGACTAGGAAATTGTTATCCTGATTTTGTTTATGAATACATGTGTATAACTAATATAATACTATACCATAATATATTATATTAATTGGAGATAATGAAAGAGAAAAAGGTCCTAGTTCTCATATCAATGAATCTTATGTTTAGTTTTCCCACTCCCCCTTAAAAGATACTCATGTCAAATTTGAATTAGAGCAGAACATTGGTCATTGGCACGAACCCTCTCAAGGGCCCTTTAACCCCCCTTAACCCTCGATGACCCCCTCCCCGCTGAGCACCCAAGCATTCAGCCATCGCCAGAATCAAAAGTCAACAACTCTCGCTTTGTTTTACTTTCCCAGCAAACAGAAATTAAAGCCAGAGAAAAGCAAAACGAGTGGCGGACAGGAAAAGCCAACGCATGACACAGAAATTCAGGGAAGGAAGGTGGTGGCAGAACAAAAAGCAGAAAGCGAACTGCCGTGGAAATGGGGAAAACGCGCGAAGGGAAATGATGGAAATATTGAGAACGCATATGAGAAGAGCAAAAACCCAAAAAATAGTCGAGACTTTGGCGCGCGGCGTTCGGTAAACAGGGGAAAAACGTTCGGCAAACACAAACTCGCTGGTTGACCGAGCATCAATAGAGCGGCTAACTTGCCGGATTTTCACTGTGGAAAAACAAAGGAAAAGCTCGGCTCGAATGCGGGAGTTTCCTGTGCAGGGCGGCTAATGAAGCCTGAAATCGATTTGTGGAGTAAAACAGAATGCTGCGCTCTATTCCCCTGCGATCTCTGATCGATTCAAGCGAAGGGTGATCGCCACTGAACCACTTGACCCATCTGCACCACCTGTGCCACCCACATTTCCTTCAGCTTCGGTGGATACCCGATCGACAGGCAGCTGTTTCCATCTCGGAATCCCCGAATTTACAGCATTCATCTTCCTTTTAGTGGCATTACTTTTTGTTCTTCGGCAATTTACGACCGCAGCCTTTGTTTACTTCCCCCATTGGAGCTCATTTTATTGGCCTCTCCTCCTCGAAACTTAGCTCTGCACATGCCTCACACATTTCATACACTGACAATAAAACGGGGTGCAAAGTGTGAATGGTATATGAATAATATATCATTAGGAGTTCCCTTAAAGGCAATACATATTATTTCTTTAAACACAGGAAACCAATTATTGAAAATTTCTGAGAAAAGTAGTTTTTAAATGATCAATTGAGTTAAAAAGAAGCAAAATACTACAGTTTTCGCTTAGTGGAGTGGTTCGATGGCGACGCAAAGGAAACAAAAGTGCTCAAGCAGCACTGAACCACCGAACCAGCGAGCCACCGAGGTGTCAAGTGTTTTGGCTTATCTTCTGCGGTTGCTGCCTCTTGTTTGTAGGCCAACATCATGGAGTTAGGATGCGAAAACCAAGATTCTTCAGGCCGCCGACGTGTCTGCTTCTCGAATTGCGTCAAAAATTATCGCCATTAAATGTAGATGAGCGTTTAGTTGTAAAGTTATTGGCCCATAAATAACCCCTGAGTCTGCAGTTATCCGCATCCTCAGGTTTTCGAGGAGGGGACTGTTTGTTCTCTTCATTCATAAAATGAATGTGATTTATGAACCGAGGTGCTTGCGGATCTTTTGATTGCGGTTCTAATAAGGATGATAGTCGTTGCAAATTGAAATTCATTTGCTGATTGAGCAGGAATTTAGTGAAATAAAAAATGCTTAGTCGGTGGGAGGAGAAGAGAAATTTTACAAGACGAAGTTTATGTGACAGTGAGGATTTAATTGATTATATTTTAAAAGTCTATTTAAAAGTTTGAATAGTGTATGTCAAGGTATAAGTTTATTTATAGAAAGGTGCATTTGTTCAAGTGTTTATTTAAATTAGTAAGTAATACAATTTGGAAACTAACAAAAAATATTGCCAGACTTTGTAAAACATAACGATTGTTTCTCACCTAAAATGTTGCTAGCGCCATCTATTTCAGAGATTCAAAAGTACAACTAAAAGCGGGAGTTCCTGCCTTGACCGTAAGGTGGCGATCTGTTGGTTGCCAAATAAAAATACAAGGTGGCGCTAGGAAGAAATAAAACCAAATTCTTAGTTTTAAATGTTGGCAATGTAAAATAAATAAGATCTTACGTTTGATTAACGTACTCCCCCATAAAAATAGTCCGATCTTCATCAGACATTTCTGTAGTCTTCGATTTTCGCCTCAAGCATTCCTCAACACGTCGACTTTTAATGCTTCTTAAGCTGCAGGAAACCGCGGGAAAGTTATTGGGCATTCCTATGGACTCGGCATAGAACAAGACTGCCCTGTTGTGACTGCAACTGTCTAATGAGTAGATAAATTGATAGAAATAGTATGACGTTAAAATGATATTCAAGTGAGCTTACAAGCCTCATGAAGTAGCTTACTGGCGGCAACAACGTCCACGTTTTCGCAACCTGGTTGGGGAGCCTGTCCGAAATTCGGGTAAAAGTCTACTGTGCCTCGAGGTGTTATGTCCCCGAAAAGGGGATAATCCGTGTGGATCACATCCACAAATCGAGCGGCGTTTGAGCGCAAGCTGTCATCCGATCGACTCGAGAAAAGGGGAAGCGCAGGATCGAGTCCTGTGACTCTGCCCAGAGATCCATTGAAGTGCCGGCCAATTCCTCCAGCGATGTGAGCTCCCAGGCTGTGACCTATGACATGAACCCCTTCGAGATTTATTCCATGCCGCTGGAGGAACTCCTCCAGCAGTTTCGCAAGAACCCGAGCGACTTTCTTCACCGCCAAACGGGAGGTGGGGTAATCCAGATTGGCCGCTGGTCCCCAGTCAGCCACGAGGACATTCTCGAATCCCTGGGAGGTGTAAGCTTGGGAGTTCCAAGGTTATAAGGTGACTGGAATAGTACCACCTCTTACCATTTCTCAGCGGCAAAATAGAGCCATGCGTGCGAGATCCCAGGTAGCCATGAACGATTAGCTTAACGGACTCCGTTGTTCTCAACACATCCACATTCTGAAGGAGCACATCCCCCGAGGGCTTCAGGTAGTAAATGCTGCTCTGATCCAGCAGAGAATCCAGCAGGGCGGCCTGCAGCCCCAGAAACTGGCAGATGATCGGCACCAGACAGAAACTGCTCTTGGCCATGACTGAAGTAGAGTTCTCCCCGGAAAATAACTAGAATTGGCAATCGAACTCCACCCTTTTATACCCCTGGCTAGCATGCGATCCTCTAATCGATCGATTAGGGAAAATCTGCCACAGATGACGCACTTTCGGCTGGCTTTTCGTAAGATTACTTTATTATCGCTAGGTATTAAGTAATTTCCACATATACTACACACACGCACATGAAGCTTAGTTAGTTAGAATGCAAGCAATCGGTATTCGGTAGTGGGACTTCCCTGATTTCGGAGATGGCAGTTGGCTTTCGACAGCAGAGCGCTGCATCCTATCGCCTGAGGAAATCGGATCCCTCGCCTACGGGCTTGATCATCCAGCGGACCTTCTTGAGGGAGCTGTTCCTCCCCCCCAGGGTTTCCCACCACATCCCGGTCTCCCCGGCGTCCTTCTCGTTTGGGGCCAAGTACCTGCCGAACAGGTTGGTGGTGGCGCAGTTGTTGAACCAGCCGGCGCCCTTGTGCTTCGTGGCGCAGCTGCAGTCGACGCAGTTGTCGTTGTCCTGGTCCAGAGTGCTGAACTTGGCCCCGGCGTGGTAGAACAGGGAGTCACCCGCGTTGGGCTGCAGGTCGTCCTGGAACCTGCCCAGCAGCGAGAGGGGGAACAGCTCCGGCTCGCTGCCGATGGCGAAGGGGGCGTAGCCGGCGTAGAACTCGGTGCCCGAGGAGTCCTCCAGCACGATCCGCAGCTCCTGCAGCGAGGAGGAGGTCAGGGCGTGCAGCTTGTTCAGCCCGATGAAGAAGTCGCCGGCCAGGTTGCCGAACCCGTCGCGGTAGTCCAGCCATCCCCGCTCGAAGCTCACGTCGTCGGAGCTGCGGCTCAGCACCACCGTCCACTCCTCGGCGCACTGCACGTAGAAGGGCTCCCACTGGGGCTTGAGCTGGATCCTGAGGAACTGTGAAATTAAGGGCTCTTCCGCACAGCTGGTGGGCAAGGGGCGCCCGGCGGGGCTTCCATGGGGTCCTGGTGTTTGGAAGAAGTCTGGCCTTCCCGATTCGAAGCCTTTACTTCTTATCAAGTGGCTCTGTCGCCTGGAAGATAGGTTTCCTATTATTATGTTTATTCTTTGAATGGTTTTTACCCACCTGAGAGTCCGCGTGAGGTTGCCCACTTCAATCTGGAGAGCCCTGATTTTCACGTTAGTGGAGACCAGCAGGGTGGCCAGGGCATCTAGACGATTCGGAACACTCACTTCGGATCCAGTTGCCTGATCCTGCGGAACATCCCGGGTATTCCTCGATAAATCTGTAGGGTGGAATATCAACGCTACTTAATCTGTTTTATTTAAGAAACTGAGTAGACAGAGAGGCAAACACAACACCGAAATCTCTTAAGCTCAACTAGGTTACCCTTCATCTTGTGTCGGTTGTTTAGCTTGTGCTTTAGCTGCCTAACTCGGCGAGGGCCAAAAACCTGATCGGTTTCACCTTTAAGCTCGTCCAGGGTGCTCCTCGAGAGCCGCTGGATGTGCTCGAAGCTGTCCAGTCGCTGCTGGAAGTCCAGTTGCTGGGCCTTCATCGATTCCATGCGGGCAGCACTGCTCTCCACCAGCTGGTCCAGTCTGGAAAAACCCACAAGTTCATATCAAGCGAAGAGTAAGTGGTGCAGCGTTGTTCTAATCGAAGTGACCCAAATGAACGACCCCGCCAAAGCTTGATTTTGGGTCTTTCCTTCTATACCCACTGATTAGAAAAACAAACTAAGTGGACCGGATAACGAAATGTATAAAGCATACAATCCGACATAAAAAATGAGCAATTAAAGGCAACAAAGAACGAAATAGATTAACTAAACAAGCAGCTAATTATAAACACTCTCCGGATGCGTGCGAAAATCAGAAGAAATTTCTGCGAATCTATTGCAATAAATTTTAACCTAACAAGAAAGGAAGCCAGCTTCGGCGAACCGAAGCCTATATACTCTTGCAGTCATCACAGATGTCGGGCAAAATGCATAAAGGCTAAGCCACAATAAAGTAATTATGAATTTCTATTTATTTTTCCCCTTGTTTCTATTAATTTTCAGCAATTAACTAATGATAACTAATTTATTCTATACTGAATTTAATTTATTTTCTTTTTGTATCCTTATTTCAGGTCATGGTTATGGCGAAGAACAGACAGAAGGCCTGCGCGACCCAGTCTCCCGACTCATCCCGAAAATCCACATTGCATCAGCCAAGGAAGCGAACGGGGACACAACGTTGAATTCTAAATTTAGCAATAGTTAATTCACTAGACTCGCATCTAAGACTCACAAGACATGGATTGTCCCAAAATCTACAGTATAAACCTAGGGAATAGTTTTTCTAAATTATATAAAATAAAATAGAAATATCGAAATTTTGCATTATTTTTGGGGGTTCAATTGGGAAATATGAAAGGTAGGCGATTTTTTGGGTTTGCAATTTTACTTAAAAATTTGTAGCATAATTTTGGGAACAATTAATTTTTAAATTTTTTCAATTTTCGTTTAAAAAAGTGTAGCATACTTTTGGGGGCAAGTAAAAATATTAAATTTAAAATGTGGCCACCTGCTATAGCATTCTGTTCGCCTGGTACTTCAAAGTGAGCACTGGCTAAAATTTTGAGCTTGGCCGACCGATTTCGACGAGCAAAATTGAAATTTTTGGATTTCAAATACCAGGCGAACAGAATGCATTAGTAGGCGATTTTTTAGTTTTGCAATTTTACATAAAAAATTTGTAGCATACTTTTGGGAAAAATTAATTTTTGATTTTTGCAATTTTCATTAAAAAAGTGTAGCATACTTTTGGGGGCAAGTAAAACTTTTAATTTTAAACATGGCCACCTGCTATGGCATTCTGTTCGCCTGGTACTTCAAAATTGGTTTGGCCCAAAAATTTTGGATTTGGCTGGTCCGCCAAGTGAAGGAAGTTTGGTTGAATATGTTGGGTTTGGCTGGCTAATATTTAAAAAGGGGCCGTCCCTAAATCTCGTGACCCAAATTTTTTCTATTTTGCCCCCCTCCCCTCCTATGTGACGCATCACACATACAAATTATAACCCCCTACAACATAACGTAACTCTCTGATGAACCCCCCACCCCCCTAGTCAATAGCCTCTTTTCAATACCCTCTGCAAGGGTATAAAAAGCTGCAGCAGACGTTGCCTAACGATCACATTAATGGCAGATAATTGAAAGCCAGGTTAAGCGATGAATTCTTCTGCCAAATAACTCGCAGCTTCCAAAAAAGGCGCTTCCACACGTTTACTGTTTTAGCGGATATTTTTCGAAAGTGTTTTAAAGACGATTTGTTGTCTATTGAAAACCAGTTCTCACTTCTTATCGATGACTTCCAGCCGGTGGCGCTGGTCCTGGTCCAAGGTCACCAAGACACTGACGCGGTCTTGCAGATTGGCCATCAGCTCCTTGAAGTCGCAGCTTGGGGGGAATGTTGGTGGTCCCGGGACTCTGGAGATTGGCGAAACGGAAAGGGAGACGGGTCGTTAAGCAAACACGAGGCCAGCGCATTGAACTTGTTCTGGCCAAAACGAAACCTGCTGGCCAAAAGTCAGCAGCTTGAAATTCACATTACGGTGGACGATCGAGAGAAGAGCAAACATCACGTTATGCTAAATACGTTTTTGCATTTCGCACAAAGGGTTTATTTGTGTTATTTATCTTTTTTTGTCGAAAGAAATACTTTTTTGGCAAGCTCTTGACTTGTTTGTTTTATAGGCAATCTGCTTTGCTACGTTGTTTTTCAGTTTGGTTGCGATTCTGCCAATTTTTAATTTAAATAAAAATGATCAAACTTTGGACTTGCATTAATCACTTGTGAAATTGAAAGGAAACAACACAAATGTGCAGGAAATACATATACATAGTCAGAAATTTTTTGATAAGCACTGTGACATTTTTTAAAGCGCTCTGACATTTGTTTTCCTATAATTTATACATAGTTTTTTTCACTCATTCGGATAGTTTTTTTGTAAGAGATTTCTTGTTTTGCCCACCGATCATTAGCTCGATGTTAACCTGTCTTTCGATCGTCTGCCGTATTTCGACTGTGACGCACTCGGAAGTTACTGGGCCTGCGCGACCGCGTCTGGTTAATTTGGGCGTAACGCGGCGGAGGCGGAGGGGGCGGGGCCTGGGTTACTCCGGGGACTTCCACCACGGAACCAGTGGCGAAACCGCAGATCGCAGCCATGAAAACCAAGGCTAACGCCCCTAATTTCGGCATCATCTTGTCACTTGTTTACGCGGCTCACGAAACTAACAAGTCACTCGGAAACATCCGAGAATAAGACTCCCAACTTTGAGTCCACAAAGATAAGCGCGCTGAGTATTTTAAGACCGTTCAGTTCGATACTCGCGAGGGCACTAAGTGAATATCAAAATCCGACAGCAGTTCAAAGAAGCTTTCGCTCAGCAAAAAGCTTTTTTAAGATGTTGGGTTTTGTTTCTTTGGGGATCGCCTTTGTTTACACATCTGTCTTAAAGACTGAGAAGAATTCCCCGGGCTTTTTCCTCAATTTGGGCTGTCAATCATCCAGGTGATTACCAAACATACCAAGCATGGCAAGCCTCCTATGGCTTGTTTAAATCGAAGAACAATAGTATTGAGTATTGTTTATTGCTGGTGCAAAAAAATGAGAAGATGGAATCACCACTATAGCTACTTATCTTAAGCTTAACTATAGTCTTTAGTATATCATTTTAATGCTAATTAGCATTTCGCAAGGAGTGTTGAGTATAATATTGATGAATGAATTAGCTGTCGCTTAAGTAATATTTCATTAACAATGTTGGTGGCTTTAAGAACTTGTAATCAGCTACCAGTTTAACGTTAGGTAATTTTAAGTTTTATTAAACGTATTTTACAGCTTTATTCTTTTGAGATTAGGCAAAATTCTAAACATGATTTACTGCCCGTAAACCTACTTTTCCAAAGCTCCAGTCTTAAGCCACAAAAGCTAATTGCCAGATAATTTTATGCAAACGATGCCAGGGATTCCCTAACCTCACCTTTCGAAGTTCATTGAGTAGTTTGCATGCCAATGATATGCAAATCCCATTCATGGCAGTTTGTGTAGGCCTGCCTCAACTTCTAGCCATATTACACTCATATGTCGTCCGATAAGAAAGGGTTTGCCTTCGCAACCGGTGACTAATTGTGCGCTGGATTGCATGCCAATGCCCAAGTTCTCGACCCCTGTGATTTTCCCCGCTGCAATGACATTCTATATATAGAGTTCTACGAGCGCAATTTTATTTATATGGATTTTGGCCTTAGCCGTCATCAGCTAGAAATAATGAAAGACTCACGAGCAGAATACACTTGGATGCAACTGCATTTCCCATTCGGTTTTACAACTTGTTCACGAGCTTACCTTTGATTTTTGTCAGCTGTAATTGTTTACAATTTCAATGGTGATGGATTTTATGGGTTTCTGAAGGCCTACAGCTGCATCCGCGTGGCTCAAACCTTTTCAGCTGGCCATTTGCGAATAGTTCGTGCCGAGATGCCCGCTTGAAGATACCAAAAGTCAGGCCCAGCGTCAGTCATCTCTATTTGGTGGGTAAGATGAATTGCTGGGGTAATGACGCAATCATCGGGCGATTGGGAAAAAATTTCTTTACATTGTGCACATTGCTTGTCATTTGCCAAAAAAGAGTTGCGTCATTAACATAATTAATGCCTTTGAATCCCATTGATGCCACCCTTTTCCGCCTCCATCCAATCTTCCGACTTGTCATCCTCTTGAGAAAATTCATCACTTGAATTGGGGATGAGTTTATTTCAAAGGCCGCCAGCACTTGAAGCAATCAAGAATTATTAGCCCATATTGTTATTTATTGCTAGACGCCAAACAACCGTCGAAATTTCTTGGAAAACATAAAACAGAACACTCAGATCGTTACTTTTGATTGGCCTCGGCCACTTTTTATTAAATATTAAATTATTGTACATGTTTAACTTATTCAAATTGTATTTAGTTGCCATCCATTTGTGTTAAATTATAAACATTCAATATTTTTCCACTTCTAATGCGAGTACACCCACAGTGTCTGTACTCCAGCCAAATATTGTTTGGTTCGTCTTTCGCTACATAGAAATCAACTACAAATATTTACAAAATCTTCATTCATATTTTCTTAAGGGTTGCGGGCTTCACCCGCCTTTCGTTTAACTATACAAAAATGCTTACGAGGTAAACATAAAAATTGCATGCTCCATCTAAACTATCGCCTATCTGCATCGAGAGTTCGTAATTTGCGTTAATAGATTTATTTTGTTTTTAACAAAGGTACATTAAATATTTACGACGAATTCAATGCATTAAAAATATTAAGTTTCTCCTCGTTCCAGCCCTCCGCCAGTTAAGTTTTACCTTTCGTTCCCAGGGTTCCGAGGGGGGAGTTGCCCTGCCGCTTAGCTGCTATATAGAATAAGTTGCGCTAAAAACATTCTTAGTTATTTACTCGTTACTCATTACGTTACTCGTTTCGATTACGTTAGGGATTAGCTTAGTTTTCTCTCCACTACCTTTTGTTTGGTTTGCTCGACTCGTCTCGCCTCATCTCGTTCCGAATGTTGTGCAAAGTAATCAATTGGAGTTGCTCGGAAAATGCATCGAAAAATGATTTCTGCGCCTCTGATAAAATCTGCATTAACGCAAGCGGAAACGGAAACAAAGTCCTCTTCAATCTCCGCTAATTCGTTCGATTCTGTTCGATTCGATTTGTTCCATTGGCCATTGGCTTAAAAACTATGGACGTAACCTTCGGGATGGGAAAAGTGCAAAAGTGCGTTGCCATGCTTCGTTACCTTTTGTTTAGCGATCCTACAATTAATTTGGTAAAATTCACGGAAAACCGAGGAGAAATGAATGCGTAAACATCCTCCTTGCTAAATTTTGAGTGCGTGCAAAATTTTGTTTCGGTCTAACGTACCTCTCCTCTCGGCTAGCAAATAATTATAAACAATTTCGCCTGCCCAGCTTCTACATGCGTTGGTTCTCTAAAGTGCCTAATTCTTTATCTTTATTAAGTTTTCGTTTACTTTGTGTGTTGTGTGTGTTTACCTTGCTGAAGTGTTCGAGTGTTTGTTTTTTGCATACTTTTTTCATAAATCACAGAAAAAGTTTATTCATTTGAAATATTTGGTTTTGGATTTGCATTTGCTTAAATTTGACTTTTACCTTTTGCTACAAAATATAATCTGGTTGTGGAACGCTATTAAAACGTGGCCCTAATCGAGGTGTTCTATATAAGTATCAACTATCTGTACGGGCTTGATATCTCCTAAGAATCGTGTCTTGATCAGAGAATCTTAGCAATTTGATTGCCTACAACTCAAATTGGCTCGTCGCTCCCATAGATTTATACGATATTCATAATATATTTTGTTCTACGCTTAGTTTGCTCTACTCAAATCGTTTTTGATTCATTTACTTGTCTCAAAACCATGTGAAGTGTCTTTGATTTCAATTTGCACATTTGTTAGCTCTCGTTTGAACTTCTCTTCAATAGTTGTGGAGCCCGAAGTGATCGGGCGTCCTCTCGTTTTGGCCAAATACGTTACGTTTCTTAGAGTATGGAAATGGATTGGGCTTAGTTTCGATTCTTCTCGCTACAAACTCTATGTAAAATACTTGGTTAGGTTACTTTAGTGTTTAGTTGATGGCTATTTTATCTCGAATTTACGTTGGTTGATTGCTAAAAATTTGATTCTACTATTTGCGTTCTTTGCTAGTTTAATTGTTTATCTATTCGCTTAAGTTTGCATCGAAAATTTCATGATTTATGATCCGCCAGCCTCGCTCTCAACCTTTGATTTTTTACTAAATGTTTCTAGGAATTCAATCATCTTATCCGCGCGCCAGCCAACCTCTGTAAAAAGAACTCAAAAGTTAAATATGAACATAGGAAAACAAAACCTGCAAACTTAAATGGTATAAATGATTTAAATTTATTCGTTTAACATATGTTTTTAAGATTGTTTTACTTGCTTTTTACATAAATTCATTTAATAGTTATAAAATTATCACTTAAACAGCGCGGCAAATCGATATAATTTATAATGACAAAGGAAAGCGATACGAAATCATACAAACAAACAAATAAAAAGAGCTGTGAGTGGAAATGAAGACAAAATAACATTTTGTGTCCTTGAATTTTCCCTGTGACGATCTAAATTTAGTAAAATATAAAATTTAGTTGCATAATTGCTTGGAAATAATTGTTGAGCGCAATTGGTGTTTTTTTCAGCGCATTCTCGCCAACCCAATAATTTTTATAAATTGCACTCTATTAAAGCAGTCACCAATCAAATTTTTATTTGAAAAAAAATTCTGAAAAGTATGGCGCAACAGCTGAAACCGATCCAGAGACCTATTTTATAATGCAGACACCATTTTTCAATAAGTCTGTGTCTCGCTTTCAGTCGCTTGGCTTTAGTTTTCAGTGACACTACTTCTGTGACTGCAAACGAAAGTATTTCGTGGACCACAAAGCCAATTCACTCACTAAAAGCAATCTTTAAATGTTAAGTTCTTTAGCTTACAAAAGAATACAGAAAAACATGTCTGCGCTTTGACTAAACTGAGTATCCTTTTCGCGGCTGCAGGATGGCGAGAAACCTAAACTAACTTTAAGCGATTTGACTGAAAATAAAATGCCGCCGTCGGTTCCATGTCTTCTGCTAAACTCCTCAGCTAACCTCGCGAAATCGAACTAATAACTAAAGTATCATAGAATTATAGTACAAACTCTCGCGCGCGCGAAGTTATTTGCTTGCGTTTATATATGGCTGTCGATTGCTGGATGGTGCGATAGGTTGATTGACAGATCGGTAGTCCGGGAGGGTGGTGGTTGGGTGATTGATGCCGAGGACTGTGGTCCTAACAGTAGAAACGTACGCCATCCACAGAGAGGACTTGCTTTAATTTTCATTTATTCTGTCGATTTGGCTCCGTATAAAGCTGCACGCCTTCCACGGTGAAAATTGAGGTTTCTGTTTTGTAAGGGCGAGAAAGGACGTTGGTAATTAGTAAAAAAAAAGAATGGAATTATAATTGTAATTAAAAAGTTTGAGTTATGACAACATGTTGGACTCTGACCATGACATAATTTAATTTACGGCCATCGACGAGCGACAATTAAAATGGCCATTGGCGAAATTACATTTCCAGCCACACATGATACACCCACGCAGTTGTCAGGCTCGCCCAACCACCCACAAAATGCACTCAGCTGTGTACAGTGGACACTCTAATGGGTGTAATTGTTGAACATTGCATACATTGTCCATAGAGCTTCATCCTAATCCAAATAGTTTTAGGTACACAATCTTTACTGCTTAATAAACATATCCTTTCATTCACAATGTCCCTGTTTCTAGTATTCACTGTACTACACAGTGTGCTAGCCACATAAACCGCTTACGGGGTGTGATGACCTTTTCCTGGCCATGATAAATGAAGCGCATTAGTTGCGTTTTAATTGATTCTATCTGTCCACGCTGCGTATACGTAATTTACCACCCCTTTGCAAAGAACTGGGTTTGGAGTTCTCCGCAGCGACTGTGATTTAGACCGAAATTAGCATGGCACCCCATCTGGATTTGTGCGGGGAAAAAATATAACCAGTTCTGTGTAAACAAATCACGCGTTAATCGCATTTTAAGCACACTTTAAGCTGCCCTCGATTAAGTGCAAGTCCGAGGGGGGGAATTTGGAATTTGCACTTTATTCATTTATTTTCGGATTTCCCACTGCATTCTCGAGTGGCTTTGTGCCCCTATTTGTGGGTATTTGTATGTACTCTGAAAGCCCTCTCCATTGCAGTTTATTCTCCATTCCCCCCTTCCCCTTTCCCCTTTTCCCGTCGAGTTCCCCTGCACTGCATTTGCCAAATTGCATAGTCCACAACTCGATGCCGGTCTGTAGGTCTGACCCTTGAATATCCTTTTTTCGGAAATGTTTCCATTTACCGAGCAGCATCCGATAGGAGGTCTGCTAATGAATGCAGGCCCTCAGGAAGTCGGTTTGCATTTTATTTACTCGAAAATGCAGGGATTCTCTAATGGCATTGGAATAGAATCTCGGCCAAAAATTACGAGTATTTTTTAGACAAATTAATAACAGATACTCACAGAAGTTTTCTGTTTCCAATTCGATGCTCTAGATAATAGTAACTTTTTGTTGAGTGTACCCAGGCTAGATTGCGGATTTTAAAACGAACCTTTATTTACTTTTAGATGTTCACTTATAGCAATCTAATTAGTGGACCAGCTTGATTTTCTGTATTTGTCCAACAAGTTTGTCCTTTGCATTTGGTATTTATTTGGCCCAACTTGTTGCAAACTTTTGCCACCACTCGAAGTACAAATTAAAACTGGCAAATGCAATTACTGTTAACTGTACCTCGGAAACACTCGCTCAGCCGGCGAGGAAAACTGCTCGAAAGGCAAACAAATTGTCGCGAAACTTAAATGAGTTGTCCCTGCAAAAGAATGGCCACCTTCGCGAAATTTTCCCTGACTTTCCGCCAACTTCGGGCAAACATTTGATCCTTTTTTCCCACTCCCTTTTCCTTGCTTTGTTAATTGCTTTTCTTTCCGGCCACAGACAAAGGCCGTAAATGTTTAATGCACTAATTCAATTCGCAGGACTCACCGTCTGGCAATTCGTAGAGTTTCTTTGGCAACTGCGCAAAGTACGGATGCTGCAGTGCATCGTCGGCGCCCAAACGCTGCTCCGGATTCAGCTGCAGGAAGCCGTTCGCTATCGTCTCGCCCTCGATGATGTCGTACAGTCGTGGGAAGTTGTGACCCAGTTTCCGAGGTCGGTAGAAACCTGTCCAAAAGAACCAAATTAGCTTTAGCTCTGGTGTTCAACGTGGCCGAAAGTCCAGCCAATTACTTACCCAGCTTGTGCGGCTTGTAGCCGGGAAAGTGGGTGACCCCCGCCCACGTGTCCTCGGTGGGCGTGCCCAGCAGTTTGAATATCTTGTCCAGCTGATCGTAGGTATCACGTATGCCCGGGAACGTCGGCATCCCGGTCACCATCTCCACGAAGATGCAGCCCACGCCCCACATGTCCAGCGAGGTCGAGTACTCCGTGCTGCCCAGCAGGACGTCTGAAATGGTCACGAACCTCGGGTAAGTAAATGCACCTCGGAGCTCGGAGCTCCTCCGTTTTGTTGCGAAATAAATTGCCATTTAAAACAAACAAGAGGGGGTGGAGGAGGGGGAAAGGCAGGTGGAGCAGGAAGAGAAAGCTCCGCACTTCCTCTGCTGCTCTTTGCAACCTTTTTGTTTATCTACTCTGCCGCTTTTTGGCCAGCAGCTAGCCAAGTTTAGAACTGCCTGGGGAGCACACGAGGTACTGTTTAAATACGAGGAGTTAAAGGTACCTAACGATCCCATCTAAAGGGTTTACAAAACTCAACAAAAACATTTAAAGTGGTTTAATAACTCGAAATGGTAAACAATTTAAACAAAGGCCTCTATTTGCCTACACTTTCTTTTCAATACAGAAACCGTTTTGTACTTCTTTTGTACCCAAATCGACTGAACTGTTTTGAAAATTTGTACCCTAGTGTGCTGCATTTTAGTTTCCACAGCGATTTTCCGGCCAGGTGGCGACAGGTGCCCGTGGCAACCACATCCGCATCCGCATCCTCATCCGCAGCTTTCCCCTTTTTTTTTTTTTTTTTTGTTTTTGCCAGATGCCGCTTTTTGCCTGCCGGCGTTGTCTGCCAAGAAGTGCAGATTAAATTTGTTTAACATGCTTCCGAACTATTCCCCAGCTGACGGTGATGGCGTCCAGAGTACAGGGTTCAGGGGTCAGGGGTCAGTTGTGCGGGAGGGGACTGCACTATGCAGGTATTTCGCCCGGCACAAAGTGTTTATGCCCAGGGAGTTGCATGTTAGAAAAATTATTCCTCTATCTCTGCGCTCTCCTCGCTTTAGTTTTTCATTTTCATTTAGCTCGCCGGCTAAATTGATGGAAAAATCCCTGCCATGCAGAGCGAATTGTTTACCCATTGTCGAGGGAGGGATCTGGATCTTAGTGGCGCATTAATTTAATCCCGCCCGAGCTCCTTTGCCGAGCGAACAATTTTCAGCCTGTATGGACGCCAATTAATTGGCTTTGCGAGCGCAAAACAAACGAAATAATTTAATGCGATTTTCAAATTGGTTCGACTTTGGGCTTGGCTTGAGCTCAAACTGCAAATTGTTTGCGCTGCTGAAGAGTGATTACTAGTTTTTTTATTTTGGCTGTGAAAAGCTTACATGGAAAGGCTCTTAAGTGTTCAGCTTTGGAGGGATTAAAAGAAAGGGAAGTACTTCTACAAAAATCGAATGCAAAAATCAAACCTACACTTTGTTTGGTTCTAGGAATCTCACAACATAATTGCTTGCTTTTGTATTTTTGGATAGTTCTGTATGACCTTTTAATTTAATGTTAGGTACTGAAATATTTTCACTATGAACTCTCGGGCTTAGAAGTGAGGTACCCCCTCTCCTTTCCCCTTTTTCATTCGGAAAACTCACCTGGAGGGCGGTACCATAACGTGACCACCTCGTGGGAGTAGGTGTGGCTGGGCACGCTCTTGGCCCTGGCCAGTCCGAAGTCGGCCAACTTGAGCTCGCCGCAGTCGCTGATGAGCAGGTTCTGCGGCTTGACATCCCGGTGGAGGACTCGCCGCTTGTGGCAGTAGGACAGTCCACGGAGCAGCTGGAAGAGGAACAGGCGCACGTTGCGGTGGTCCAAGCCACCGGGGTGCTTTTCCATATATTGCGACAGATCGGTATTCTGAAATGGGTTGGCAATGCATTCAAATTATTACTAAAGGCTAGAATACCTCCTAGAGAAGTTGTTACGATAGATGCTTCATTCTTTCGATCTCCCAACAATCTTTAGGATCTTTTAAACTACTCACCACATATTCAAAGACGAAGGTCAGCGTCTCGCGCGTGTGGACGATGTCGTGCAGCGTAACGATGTTGCTGTGTTTCAGTTCTTTCAGCAGCGAGGCCTCGCGAATGGCGGTGAAGGGGGCTCCCTCCTCCTCCTGGAGGCGAATCTCCTTGAGCGCCACCCGCTGGTAGGTTAATCTGCAATACAAACGAGGAGGGGGAATTAATAAAATAAATACTCGAGCGGGAATGTCCGACAGGAACAACAATTGCACAGCTGCCGGCGAGGCAACAAAGAATTAGGCTCGCAATTTGTGGTAGGAACCCTCCCGAAATGTCGTCCTTGCCGAAAGTCAGGACATGTGGTGGGTGAGGACCGAGGGGCTGTGTATATTAAACAGACATAACGACCCAACACGCAGGGAAATGTACGGCAAACACTTAAATTAGGATAAGGGACAGGACACGGAAAGGCAAAGAGGACACAGCATCGCAGCAGTGATGGCAGCTTAGCGTGTTTTTTTAGGCCAAATTACTGGTTTTTCTAGCAAGAAAAAACAGCAAATTGGCCATAAAAGGTCAAAAATGATCAAAATATTTAATGCTACACCTTTTTGAGCTCGTATTGACATGTACAAGTGATTGGCATTCAAATCTGAAAATTTTTAGTTTTGGCCATTTTTCGCAAAAAATGATGATGTAACCCCCTTACCAAAAATGCGACAAAATGGCCAAAAAATGAATTTTTCGAAGTCTGCCAAAAAGTGATTGGGGTCGTTAGCCTAGGTGCTAAGCTGCAAAAAACAGTCATTCTTTTAGTTCTATGACCCTTTTTGGCTGAGATAGAGCTAGAAAGCCCCAAAACATCTCATATTTTATAGTCGAAAATAGTTGTATCTGAGTTTTCAACAAAAATTATTAAATCTCTCCTTCACTGTGATTACAAAACGTAGTTTTTAAAGTTTTGCGCTGCTAAAACATCTATCTAAAAAAAAGTGCCAGCACGGAAAGCGGGTTGTGGATGTGGCGCTGGGGAAGGGACACGGCGGAGGACATTTGAAGTGTCAAATTAGGTTAAAATATTTGACACTGCCGCGCAGACGTTGGCAATTTATGCGGCTTTCTCGCATTGCCAGGGCAACATCTAATTGGCGAGGCGAAGACCGCCCAAAAAAGAACGCTGCAAGGAGGCAAATCTCGCCATAAAGTAGTTGGCTTTAAGAGCAGCAGCCAGAGTGAATTTGCGAAAGTTTCTTAATGGCTCAAGCATGCCAGGATGAAGATGTCACTCGAATATGTCAAAGTGGAGCTTCTAGGGGCTGGAATTTATCACGCCACCAGCTAATTGGGCAGGCGAGGGTTAATGACGATGATGAGGACTCCTCGTGACGAACTTGGTATCATCAATTTGTCGAGCAGCATCATAAACTCCGCCTGGCAAGTAAATATGCTCGAAATACCCAAAACTTTTTATCGCAGACGTAAAAATTCACCGAGTTCTCCCCGTTTCCGAAGAATATCTTCGGGTTGCGAATTAAACCTTTTATGCCATATCAAAATGTATTCTAAAACGCACTCGGTTAATAAACCTTCATCTAGGAGCCCAAGAAAAATGCCGTAAAAAGCTTATGTCCTTACCGCATCGTGAGCAATTTCCCTGCAGAGGAAAAACAGCTGCCAGGCAGGAGGGATTTTCCCAGGAAAATTGTACACAGAAAGGAAAGTGAGTAAAAGCTAAGTTCATTTACCCGCCTAATGGAATTTTAGTTAAGAACCTACACTTTTTTCTCTGTGCATCGCAAAGCTGTAAAATATCTAGATAATTTTTCAAGTGCCCAATGGCGGAAGATTGTAAAGAGGATTTGTTGATGCGAAACTTTGTCTTGTTAATGCTAAAATAATACGATTTAGTTAAGCATAAGCCAAAAATTGCGTGAGCCATCAAAGTTGGGCAGAACTTTTGGCAATCAAAGTTTCCCCAGCCAGATGACGACTTTTTGCGACAGCTGACCTACTAAATGCTAATCAGTACTCGACTTCTGCTCGACGGATTCCGGCTTGGTTTCTTGCCCTTTTCTGTGTTTGCATAGGTAGAAAATAGTACGAGAATTCCGGAACAAACACAGTGGGAAATACAAAGAAAACCAGGACAAGGCGAGGGAAAACGAAAGTCAAATAGAAGTGAAATCATTCATGAAATCTTTTACAATTGGCAAACGGAGAAGGATCCAGAGTCGGGGGATTCATTCGGCAGAAAAAAAACAGTCCGAGAGGAAGCATAAATCTTGGAGAAGGAAAGTGACCTAAATTTCCATTTGAAAAGAAAAAAAAGAAGAAAAAACAGAGCGCCAGGAGTCGCAGGCTCACAGCAAAAGGACTCTAAACAAAGGCGAGGCCTAAGAAAAGTAAAAGCCAAAACTGAGGGGTCACATTTCCATTCGGCAGATAAATTAGAGCGAATTAATTGCATTTCGTATAAACAAAGGCTAATTGGAACTCATTTCGCATGTAAGTGCTGTCGTGCATAGCAAATGAGAAAAGGAAGCGGGGAACTAGGAGACTTAGGGGTACAATGGCGAGGGAAAGCGAGGGAAAACGAGGGAAAACTCCGGCGAAGAGGCTGTCAAACAACTTTGTTCGTCTTTCACGTAATGCCCATTGTTAAAAGGAAGAAGTTCGGGCCAACACCAAAGCAAATGATTGTCAAATAAATCAAAAACAAAAGGGAGAAGCAGGATGAAGTGTGCGGGAGCAGGAGGCAGCAGGAAATGGGAAAATGGGGTGGGAAAGAGGGTGGCCAAGTGGCTGTGACAGGCAAAAAAAAGGGGATTGGGTGGCATCTATCATCGGAAAAGCAGGACAGCTCTGCTGTCAGAAAGGTGACGAAGCTCCCTCTTCCCGCTTTTCCAGGCCCATTTGTCAAATTATGAAGGGAAACCCCTCGTAACCCCGACTCCAATTCGAACTCCGGCTCCTTAAACAACTGAAATCAGTGCCAGACGAGGCGCAAATGAGCCAGCATTTTGTACTGCCATGTTTTCGTGGAGGGGAGGGGGAGGTGGAAGGGGAGGGGTAACGGAAAGTAGGCTGTGGAAACCCAAGGAGTCAACTCAATTGTGGGGCAAGTTTTCACAGAAGTGCACTGCACTGGGGTAAAAAAGTGTACTTAAATTTAACAATGAGAATTGAAATAATTGAGAGGTTAATGAAATAAATTACAATCCAATATTAAAATAAATAGTTATCACTATGTAAATCTTTAGAGCATTATAAGTTCCCAGTTTCAAGACCCTTCTTTCAGTTTGCTTCTTATTTTCTTACCCTTTGGGTAATTCATCTCAGTGCAGAGTTAGGCCAAGCCAACAATTTGGAACAAAGGAAGAAAAGGAGCCGGGAAAAGGACACTCCCGCTGCTCCTGCTGCTGCCAGTGCAATCTCCTTCTCCCGCCGGGTGACCCACATCGCTCCTAGCCATATAGCTACATGGCTACACAGACTCATATCCCAGACCACCCTTTTGGCCGTGATTGATAGCCACATTTGCATGGCTCTGGCTGTAATGAGTCTGCCAACGGGGACAAAGGCGGAGGGCCAAGAAACCGGGGAAACCAGAAGGGAGAGCTCCGAAAATAAGTGGGTAAACGGATGCACGAGGAAACTAGCGAATAAATCAAGCCAAAATGACGACACATTTTTTCGAGCTAAAAAAGCGAATCCATTTTGATCGGGGTCCATCACAAAATTCAAGCTGCGAGATGTCGGCAATAATTTCTTGTTTAACCCACTGACACGGCGACCCAGTTTGGGCACTATTTGGTGGGGATCCCCCTTTATTTGGGCGTGGTACTCACTTGCTAAATCCTTTGTAGACCGTCGCATAGGACCCTTCGCCCAGCGGCTCCAGTTTGACGTAGGCCTCCTGCTTGCCAAATGGGGAGTCGCCCTGTGGGAAAAAGGACGAAAGCAGAGGAGAAAAAACAAATGGAGTCGAGTGAAAAATGTATCATGTTTGTTAATTAATTAAGCAAAGTTAGTTCGCCGTGCGGTTCAGTTCGCGTTACATTAGCGCATGATGTAATCAGCGGGAATGAATGCCCACTTTAGCAGCCCACATGTTTGCTTTCCAGCTTGTTTTTCAATTACGCGAAAGCCAACGTTGGTTTTTTAGCAGGCCTTTTAATTAATTACTTAACAGGGAGTTCGCTTTGCAGCTCACTGGGTAAACACAGTTGTTCAAATTTATTGTTTAATTATACATATTATTTGTGGGCCTAAAAGTATGCTTTCAAGTGTTGAAAACTAATCTGTAGTTTTTTCATTTGCCGTTCAGTCTGCAAGCGGCGCCACAATAAAATATTTGAAAATGAAAAACTTACAATTGTTAAAGTTCTCTGAACAAGGAATATCCTTTAATTCGATGCACCAAAATATATAAATTACAATTCAATAAGACTATCCTTAGAGTCACCTGCGGCTTTCTTTCTTAGTTTAGGTTAAATTTATTTATAAACGGGAACACTCAATGCCTAGACAAAGGGTCCCAACAAGATAAATTTCAAAGAGAATAAAAATTTTCAATACCAAACCAGACTCAGCAAGGCTGACTTCATGCGAATGCAGCCAGAAACAGTTGGGAATTATATTGTCAGGCGAAAAGAAAATTCAATGCACACATAAGTATGCTATACAGAACTGGATATAGAGAACATTAGGTGGTTGATGCCTTAAAGTCCTTATTTGTTATTAAGAGGACTATTACCTCAGAAATGTTCTCTCTCGAAATATTTAATAACTATATATACGTTAATATAAAAATATAATGAACTCTACTTACACCAAATGCACTGAACCGTTTGCGTCGCGGATGCGTTTCCTGCTTGTTGAGAAAGACCTCGGACTTGGGTCTGGGCGGCTTCTTGGGTCGCATGACCACGTGCGAGTGGTACTTCATCTCCTCGCGGATGTCCTCGTCCAGCAGCTTGCTGTCGGAGGACACGGAAAGCTGTCTCTGGACGCGATCGTGGTGGTCGGTGCTGTCCGTGCTGCGCCAGTCTGCAAAGGGAAAATAAGGCGAAACGGAATGCTTGAGTACGAGTATCAGCCAAAACAAAGTGAAGCAGGTAAGAGCCAAAGTGCAAAGGAAGAGCCGCTTAATGAGCAGTCGCCGGAGCAGCAGCCCCACTTAAAAACCAAATTAGTGGCCCCGACAACAGCCTTCAAGTGAGTCGCAAGTGGAAGGCAGCCTGCTCAAAGGACTATTTACGTACACTCGCTGAAAAAGGCTATCTGGAATCGCGTTTACGGAACTTTACTCAAGAACTTGGCTGTCTTGAAGTGCGAAATGTATAAGTCTTTTTGCATATTTACTATTTAAAGGAACCAATGTTTGCTATTTACAAAGTATTTTACCTATTCAAATTATAATTTTATGGTTCAACTGGAATATTTATATTCCTTTATTTTTTGCGGGGAATAATTAATTAAATTTTTTTATTGCTGATTGAGGTTGAAGTATTTTTTACTCCCCTTCAATGCATTTTTGCCAGCGTAGGAAAATAATTGCTAGATGGACCTCGCATTTCTCATTTCCTTAATGAGCACAAAGGTGCACAAGCGAAAAGAAAGGAAGAGAAGTGGAAAACTCCGCCAGCGAACTCATTATGCACATCATCAATATAATGAAGAATGAGAGATGCCGGGATCTTTGGCCGAAATAAATCGAGTCTGGCCAACCTTGAAATGGCCGGATTGAATGAATGACTGGCAGACGTAGGAGAAGTGGGCCATGTTTGCCTTGCCCCAACCTCGTTATAATAAAATGTTTCAAAAGCAACCGCAGCAGATGGCGAAAGTTGGTCTAGGACAAAGTTTTGTGGGCGGAGTGCAGGTGTGCTGCCTGTCCAGGTGCGAAATCTGGGACTGGGTCACCTAGTAACCCGCTGATGATATTTCTCCATTTTCCATTTCCCACTCCCCATTTCCCATTTGCCCATTCATTGACTTTGCGGCGCCCCGGGCTTTCCGCCGAGTTCACGCCCGCCCAGCTGCGTTCCCTGTTTGTTTGGTTTTCTATTTGAGCACTAATTACATTTTAAATTATGTTTGCTTTTCCCAGTTGCAGTTCGCAACGTAACCGTGACTGACTTTTCGCAGGTGGAAGGCGGGGGGAAGTTTTCCAACTCAGGTGCAGCAGCATCTGCTGCGTTCGTTCGTAATATTTATTCAACAAAGTTGCAGCCGCTCTGTAAATTGCTTTGCTTAAAGCGACGGCTCTTCAAGATTGGAACTTCTCCAAAGGAACCAATGACACACATAGCACTAACACTAAAACAAATAAAGCCAAACATCTCGAGATATTTTCCACTTGCGAATTCGCAACATGTTTCCCATTCGACTTTACTTTTTTCACTCGAATCATAAAAAATTTAATATTCGCTCGCAAGATGTTCTTCCGGCAAGAGTTTCCTTATTCCTGCGGAATGCTTGAAAAATTACTAACATAAAAATTAAAAATTCAGCAGCAGCTGATTGTAGAAAAGAAAACTTTGAGCAGCCCGCAGAGAGCCATAGAACGGGGGTGGGAGGGGTTTTCCGGGCGGAAGGAAAAACTGACGAGCTGGCGCTGAAAGATGATCCAAAGAGGCAGCACGGAAAGAAAAATAGTTCTCTTAGATGTTATACTTTGTTGCAATTGCGATATAACACAAGCAAATAATTTCTTTTCAAAGAGACTCACAAGTAGTAGGTAGTTAAATCAAAGAATTTAATTTTAACAACATTTTCTAGGCACTCGATTTGGTTCTCAGTGCATCATAGAAGGATACACATCCTTAGCTTCGTATCCTCCGCTTGCTGACAGCGATTAAATGCGCAATATGTGCCATAAATGAGCCAAATAAAGGAAAAACTTCAATAAAACCGAATATATATTTCAAAATGTTCTCGTTTTTCAGCCCGCCCGCTTTTATTCCCTATATCTTGTCTAGTCGCTCGAGTGGAATGGCATTTGGCGTCGTCTCCTTTCCTTTTCCTCGCTTTCCTGGCAAATCAGCGAAGGAAGAACAACAAACGGCGGCAAGCATTTGATTTGCAAAATTGACTGAGCATTGGAAAAGTGCCTGTAAAATTGGAAAATGAGAGCGATCGCAAAGGGGAAGGGGGCCGACTTTGGCCGCTTGCTCGGAAAGTCCTCAAATTGAATTGCTGGAGTGAGTGAGTGCCAAGAGCAGCCAGCAACTGCCAGCCAGCGAATATATCCTTTTGGCAACGATAATTGGATGCGAGAGTGGCAATGCGAAAGTTGCCATTTTTGGCATGGATATTTTCGGGTCATCATAACGATTATTGTTACTTCCATTAGAATGGCTCGGTTATGGATATGGATATCGATTCGGATAGGAGAAGCGAATTGGGGCACAGAATGTGCTTAAGAGCTTTAAAGATTTCATTATGGTAACTATTGATATTAACACACCAATTGGTACAGGAATTCTCTCCTCTTTAAGAAGGCTTAAAACCTTAAACTTTTTTGGCAGACCCTTTCGGTTACCTTATCTCCACCTGACCCACTTTGGTTTTATCTTTCCCGTTCCCTTAGTTACCTTTCGGCACACCCCATAAAGTTATTTAGTATTCCATTCTCTCCACTCAACTCTTTTATCGCCCTCGCTGGATGCCTTCCCCTATATTATGTTTCCCCCGTCCAACGCCTCCGTATAAAGTTTTATTGCATTTCCCTTACACATATCTTGCCACAAGAAAAAAAAAGAAAAGTACATATATAAATGTGAAAAATCTGTGACGCGAAAATCTTGAAATGCAAACGAAATCAGTACAGGAAGCTGTCGCCAAAAAAAGCGGAGGAACTAAAATGAAAGAAGATAAGTTGAGGGAAATTCGCTTGTAAAATGAAAACAATGAAAATTATGCAAGCGCATCAAGGAGAGCACTTGCAAAAAAAAGATAAAAATAGCACTGGGGATTCTGGGGGTTTCAAGGGAAAGGAGAGGGGAAGGGGAAAGCAGATGTCCACTGAGGCTGTCGCTGATGTCTGGTATATCTGCCCCCCTCCCCCTTCCCCACTCCACAACTCGTCCTTCGACCAGGGTCTCTTGTTGATATAGTTATGCAAATGCTATGCAAGGATGTCACGTCCTCCCGCTGACTTAAAGCCACGCACACATGGGACAAATACAAAGTGAGTGTGCCAGGGGAGCGGTGAGCTCTTCCCATTCCTCTGAACACTACACTTGAATAAAAACAATGAAAATATATAAGCAGTCTAAAATAACATAATACAGATACCACCGTTAACTACCTATATATTTATTATTCTTCAGAAAGAGTTGAAGAAACAGAAAGGAACACAAGAACTAATAGTTGTTTTATCTAGGATTTCATTTCTTTTGAAGTAATAAATATTTTCCTAGCTATTCTACTTGAATTTTAATAACATTAGTGCCACAGAAATGTTTCGAGTGCCCCATATTTGTTCGGTATGTGTGCTCTTAGTCTGCGGCCCCATCCGCTGTTGTCCTTTTGCATTATTGCATATTATTGTAATTTCTGTTTACTATTTGTTTTTGGCTTTGCAACAATATTTATGTCTTTTGGGGCCTGTCTGGAGGCTGCATGAGCGTCATAAAAAATAGCGGAATCACAGCGGCTTGTTGCATAATGCTGAGTGGGTCAGCCGGCGGCCACGCCCCGGAAAAGCAGTAGTGTGCCGTGGAAAGCCATAAAAAATGTGCGCATAAAAGTTTTTACTTTTCATTTGCATAAGGATGGGGCACGGGGGAAATTGGGAAGGGATCGGGCGAGCCTTCAAGTATTATTCTTTTTTTTATGACCATGTGTGACTGTATACTGTATATATATTATTATTCATATGCGCGTGTCGAGCATTTGCGTAAAAATTTAATAAAGCGACACTCGAAACTCGACACTTCCGCTTTGCTTTTCGCCCACTTCCGTTTCCCATTCCCAGTTTTTCGGGACTTTTCCCGAATTTACATGGTTGCCTTGGCCGGGAAATGGCATTTTGATAAGAGCAATGGCAACCCTGGTCGGCCATCGACAACGAATTTAAAATTGCCCAAAAATAAAGGAGTCTAAAATTGTTTCTCCCGATATTTTCCCCCAAAAAAGGATGTGTCTATGGCGTTTTATCTGGCGACATCTCAGCAGCCCCCGATTTTTCCCACTCCACACTCGCTGTTTATGTTTGTGATTTATTATTCAAGCAAGAAATTAAATTTTCTCTTTTTACTGCAGCTCGGCATCGAACTCATCCTTTTTTCTCGGCCCCTTCCACCAACTGTCTGCACGTTTTGGCATCGCTCTATGCCCCCCAAAACCCCCTTTTGGCCATGCTCTTCCCGTTTAGTGCCTAAATTTATTGTGTTGTTGTAGAATTCAATTACAATACTGAGAACGAAGACCAAGAGGCGGCGGAAAGACAAAAATCTACCCAAAATGGGGGAGCTTTTGGGGTTGGATATGCAATGTTGCATCCTGAAATGTTTGTTTTCCATTTTCGAAGCCCCCGAATCATGAAATGCCTGATTAAAGTGAAATTAAATTGTTGCTAGACTCAAAGGCTTGCGATCCCAATTCGAGTTTCGATTAAAATCTACATCCATGATGGAGATTTAGGAGGGCAAAGGATGTGCAATGTATGCCTTGCACAAATATTGCCTTATCTCTTTCAAAATTCATTCCCATAAACCGAGTTAGAAACGTTAGGTAAAGGGAAATCAAATTGATACGCAGTAAGCCTGAATTTAGATCAAGAAGAGCATAATGGAATAAAGCCAAAGTTGTCAATAAATTGCTCAACAGTTCTTGAAGCGAATCTGCGACCGAAATAACCATTTAGTCCTTGGGAAACTTCATATTTTAATGGCCACCCCCTTGTTTAGTATGCAAGATTTATAGTCGGCCAGAATTCAATTACGGGGATGACAACCTTTTTCGGGCGCAGACTGCATCCTTGAATCCTTGAATCATGGCATCCTTGAATCCTCGCTAAGCCAATGGGCTTGTGCAAATGT